AATTGATTTCCCAACCTTGGATTTGAAATCGGTAATCTGAACGGTTTTTTCCGGATTCGCGGTTTTGTTCGAAGCAGTATTTTTCATATTGTTATTTCCCTGATTAATTTCAGGATCGAAAATATTCGCAAGGAGCGCGAAGCGATTCGACGTCTTAACCGTCGGAACGTCGTCCATCTTGACGTTAGAAATGACTCGCGGAACGGGACGAGGCACGCCCCGAGCCACGTTGTCGGCCATCTTGTCTATTTGAACATTCGCGTTCGCGATAACCGTATTATTATTATCTAAATTATTATTCTCGTTAGGAATTCGTTTCACAAAACCCGATCTGTTTGAAACGTCCGATTCGGGGATACAATAATTACTAGTATCGTGAAATCCGGCCAATCTTTCGGCAGATACGTTAATTAAACGCGGAACTTTCGAGCACACTCCCGAGTTACGCGAACTGTTACTGTTACTGTTGCGAGAATTTACCGAATCGACGGATGCCAGCGATCGCACCGGCGAGGCCGGGGCGAGGTCGAGCCTGGGCTCCGAATTCGCGATAAATGAAATAGCACTGTTTAAGGATCTTGGACTCACCGTTCTATCTTCTGAACCACCGCGTGGGACCGGTGACACCGAGCCGCTCCTCCTATGCCCTTGCGATACGGCAGTATCGCTCAGATATCCCCTTTCAGGAGAGGTGGATAATTTGGAAAATTGCACCTCACTAACAAGATGCCCGGAGTTCTTTACAGATTTGCTTAATGCCGCACTGCTCCCTTGAAGGGCCTTGGAAACCGTGATAGCCAGTTCAGGAAGTCTGGCTCTCCTTGTGGCCATAGGCCGCTTACGACAGCGGCCTGCACTGATCAATTTTTCGTAAAAATCCCCTGATTCACTCACTGTATTAAAAGGGAATAATCACATTATGAGAAAAGGAATATTAAAATCGTTAAGATTTGAAAAAGATTCGAAAGTACGGCGTAGATCGTTAGCACACTTTTTTTAAGCTACGTCCTAGCAAGGACACCGAAAGTAAAGAAAGAAAACAAAACACGTCCGTACGGCACAAGAGCCACATGGGAAGTGCCTGAATCGATATACAAGTCCTCGTCACCAAACGTAGATGTTCCGAGTGTGGCCGAGAAGAGAGTCCTTTCAAATTTCTTAGCGTTGGAGCTGTTGTTCGAGTGGTCTTCCTTCTTATGTTTCTTCAATAAACGACAATGAGGTCTGATGTGCCCCGGCTTCTTGCAATGATGACAAATCAATTGCTTCTGCTGCAACGGTTTCTTCTGCTCCTCGCTTGTAGAAGTACCTCTTAATTGTTTTTGATTTGCGACAAATGCAGTGTCACCTGACGTAGTAATATCAACGAATGACTTTAATGAGTTTTCTTGTAGTAGACGATTTTTCACATATTCAGTTGTGATTTTTTCTTGAGTAGCCTCAATGCCCATGACTAAAGGTCCATATTCTGTTGGCAATCCACCCAACGTCACAATTGCAGCTTCCTCATCGTCAACTTTGTGGCCCACGTCTTCCAGCTGTAGCACTAGAGACAGCACACCGTTCACGTATTCTGCCATATTTGCAAAATCTTCCATTTTTATTCTCATCAGTCTTCTTATAAGATTAATTCGTCTACTAACTTCTTTGTTAGCGAAAGCACTTTGTAGATTCGTCCAGGCTTCTTT